AGATTACATTATCATGTTCCCGCAATTTCTGTCATATTACTTTTATCTTACTTTTGGGCTTGTTACTCGTCGAACAATTGCTGCAAAGTTTAATTTTTGTTGGCTTCGTGATGTTTATTGGCCTCGTAATATCCAAATTAGATTGCCGAATGCTGCGTAGGATGACGTTTCTAAGCCGTATGCGATGACGATGATTCTGATGAAGTTCCCCCATGTTTTGACTATCACAGACAGTTCACAAGATATCATAAGTATTCACCGTTTTCCCACGATCTGTGCATGTTATTACTTCCGCTCCACTGACTATCTGTCAATACCTGGTACCATCACATCAGGCAGTATGGGGCACGGGGTGAACTCCGTGGGGCACGTGGTGATCTCCATGGGGCACGTGGTGAACTCCGTGGGGCACGTGGTGAACTCCGTGGGGCACGTGGTGAACTCCGTGGTGCACGTGGTGAACTCCGTGGGGCACGTGGTGAACTCCGTGGTGCACGTGGTGAACTCCGTGGGGCACGTGGTGAACTCCGTGGTGCACGTGGTGAACTCCGTGGTGCACGTGGTGATCTCCATGGGGCACGTGGTGAACTCCGTGGGGCACGTGGTGAACTCCGTGGGGCACGTGGTGAACTCCGTGGTGCACGTGGTGAACTCCGTGGGGCACGTGGTGAACTCCGTGGTGCACGTGGTGAACTCCGTGGTGCACTCCACAGGATTCACTTATCTTCTCGGCGAGCCTGTGTTACACAATATACAGCATCAGTTTCCCTGATGAGGTGTATTTTTGGTTGTTTTTGTAAAGGAATATAGTATTAGAAAGAGGTTTTAACACAATATAAAGGTATTATGTTTTCCATTACAACAATTCATCTGAGTCTGGGCTGGGTCACCAACACAATAAATAGACACCAGTAGTAAGTTATATAATCAAAACTATACTTCCTCTACTAATGTCTTACCAGTCCTCTATCAGAAACCCATCAAATGGGCAGACAGCCAGACACCGTCTGATAACGCTTCACAAGTTACTAATCTGGATCTGCTTCTCTTCTGGCCTTGTTCTTCTCCTCTTCCTGACTCGTCACCCGTAAACCTCATCTATGACACGTAAATCTCGCTTTGTGCCTCTCGTCCGCCGTTCTCATGATAAGCATGATGTCAAACGGATTGATAATAATCTTCCCTGTTTATTAATACCAATTATTTTGTCAGATTTTCCCGCACTTTTATAAGGATTACCGCGTTTCCTGCACTGGAGTGTTGTTCTCATAGCCAGGAGGTTGGCAGTTTAACCACTTCTTGCGTTTATAGCTGGTTATAGCCCTTACAGTATCAGGCTGAGTGATTCCGAGTTCAGTTGACAGGAATACGAGACTTCTTGTGACTGTCGACTAAGTTTTCTGTTTCAAATTACAATTTCCGGGTAATTATGTAATACTTGCCTTCTGTTTTTAATTCAATTCAATTTTCAATTCGATTTTTTACTCGGGCGGCATTTTAACAGTTAGATTCGTTGTCTTATTCCGCAAGTTTCATCCGCTCCCACAGTTCAAGTTTCACATCTTCTCCGAGGTGAAATCTCAAACCAATCTTTACCTTCGATAAATTCTCATCACGTTACTCACGACAACCAATCACAACACAATGCGTTTTCTATCAGCCAATCAAAACGTTCCATCTGTGTCACGTGCCCTATCAATGACCCGACACCGTCAACATCATTGGTTCACCTCCAGTCTACATTGTCCTCTTTGAAACATAAGTGCAAGTTTTATGGACATTCCTTTCTCTTTAAATTATAGAATCTTATTGATCCACAAGGTTGTTTTGTCCCGATTCTCTTCCATAATAATACCACGAATAGGGCAATAATCCCATGCGGAATGGAAGTGTAATCCAGTTAATAGTCTGTTGGCCCGTGAAACAGAGGGACACATAACCTCGTTACCTAGTTAAATACTTAATACCCTGTCTCAATGTCTCAATTAAATGAGTACATACTCATTACTCTTTCTACTCACTTGACCCCCGGGTTTTTTTCTAGATCAATTAACTTGGTTTATAAATTCGATCGAGTAATGTATGACTTACTTGACTTAAGGCGGCTTCAGCGTCCGAGTATTGATGCGCTGTCTCCATAAAACTCTATCCGCCATAAGTCCGCCCATTTCTCCAGTGTCGTTGAGACCCGTGTCAGCTCGTAGGCTATCAACATAGGTCATGGCTGGTCTCCCCCTACTCCGCACCCCATGAGTTGGTTCCCAGAGTAGCAAGCGGTTTGCGACTAGTTCTGGGTGCCGGTGGATATGGCCTGCTAGTCGCATCCTGCGCTCTTGGATCTTCATGGTTGCTCTCGGTAGGTTGCCATAGACTTCTTTGTTGGTTTTTCGCTGCTTCCAATCCACATTAAGTGCCATCCTTAGCATTCTAGTGTAGCAGCCATCAATGCGTTTCTTCAATTGCTCTGTCAACGTCCACGTTTCAGAACCATAAAGAAGTATTGACTCCACAGTAGCAACAAATAGACGGATCTTTAGTCCTCTTCTAAGGTCAGACTTCCACATCTTCTTTAGCTTGTGGCAGGCTGCCCAAGCCTTAGCTTTTCTGACCCGCAGGTCCCTCTCTGTTGTTGCTATCCAAGCTCCAAGGTAAACAAAGTCTGTCACCTTTTCCAGCTGGTTTCCAGAACAGCTATTAAGACTACTCGTAATGTATATCCCTCTTTATTAATGCTTTTCAAACAAAGTTACAACGAATTATGGGTTTGGACAGGACATGCCCGTTTAAAATATTTCCATCACGTTACATTACATAATTCTCAAAAAACGTAATAGATTTGTAGTGTTGTAATAAGTTTCTAACGTATTCTAGTGGCTGGTACTTGGTGAATGGCAATTGCAGCCCACAGAGCGTTTGTCCGATATTGGGTATCAATTCCTGGCCGGGAATTATGATTTTTATCGTCATAACTAAATTATATAATTTGTCGTGGCATGTAGCTGAGGTCTCTATAAGTTTTCTCCCAACGTTTTTGTTCTGTTTGCACGATGCAATAATTGTCAATAGTTTCCAGTCTGTTCGAATTATATCAGCTACATTGTCTCTGAAGTGTTTGCAGCATAATTACTGAAGTTGTCGCGAATATTACGTTTTTCGGACAAAGGTTATTGTCCCTTTTTCGCTACAAATTTGATCCAATGCAAAACATTGCAGAGGACGCTCCCAAATTATTGGCATAATTAATTCTCTGGAAAAGTGACGTTTGACTTCCGGCAGTCGACCAAGCCCCCAGAAGCCTCAGCTACTGGTTACCGTACTCATAGCTACTGGTCACCATGGTTACCCGGCTACAGCAGCTTGATAACCTTGCTAAAACCTCCATTGTGTCCCTATAAGTATAAGTGTGTCCCTTATTGTGCCCTTATTGTACTGCCTTGTTTTTGTAGTAAATCGCAGGCGCAAGGTGTTTTGAAGTTTTCGAATTTATAGTTTGAGAAATTTTTAAAATCCTAAAATAACTGAAAATAAATAGTTTATGTTGCTCCTTATCATGCTGACCTGCCAATGCAAGGTTTCATGGCTTTGATTTAAACACAATTAATGCTTGTTATAATTGTATCAAAACATTTAAAATATGACATACCTTAACGTGGTTGTTTGAACCCATACGATATATGAGTACTTAAAGATGTCTCATCGAAAGGAATGCTATCCCTTGAGCTATAAAGTTTACCTACTCATGTTATCTGCATCTCTACTATCTTCTAATACGATAACAAACTCTTATCTGTCTTACTTATCATGGTGCACAGGTGCACGTCTTGTTTTATCGCATACAGATAACTACGGTTTGAATAACTGGTCCCATCTTACACAATAACTGTTTTATCAGTATCCTTCTGGTATCATCGGCAGCTAACCAATGACCCAATTATCGTGATGCTCCACTGATTAAGTGGTTGCTACCCTGCACCTGTGGGTCCCCAACCATCAACCACGCGGCCCAATTTGCACGTGCACTTCATACATCTAATATAAACACGTGCGCGTCCCGTGTACTACTTATGTGGTTTGAAAATGTTCCAGTTAATAACAAGGTAAGCACGGACCGTGCGCCAGGGGTGACCAATCAGATTGTTTCCTTCTATCACGTGCTATTTGGATAAACCAATCACAGCGTTTCCTTTAATCACATGGATTGTGATTGTTTCGTATTTCACCATAATATGACAGTGGAGCAATCAATGAAGCAGTGCAACCCCTTAATTCCCTGATTTGTTTCGCTTGAACGCTTCTCTTTTTAACGTATGTTTATTGTTTAGTGCGGTGATGATGCGTTATCACTACAGGACTCCCTCCTGATCATGTTAATTTATTACTGGTTGTGGATAGAGTGTAGCTTGAAGCAGGCCCTTTTGTTGTCCTGCCACCTGTAGTTGATCCTCTGTTTTATAGGTATGTACTCGGCACGAGGTACCACTTGCAAAATTTGATTGCTTGGCTTCATTTATAGATTGCAGTAGATCTCTTCTGTCTCCAAATCAATAAGATAGCACGGCAGATAGCACGTGTTTTTTTTTGTTTTACTCCATTTCACCCTAGGAAAGTCCTGCATAGTTGGAGATCCGTACATACCTCCCCTTCAAATATCCCAAACCTTATAAATGTCCGCCTTCTATCCCAAGGGTGCAAGAATCTGACCTTTATATTTCGAGCTCTGAAAGCAATTTTGTTGACATTTTAAAGGTTTTCAGATTTCATCGGGTGTGGTTGAGGGTTGTCTCAGGTTTATTGACCACGTGATTGCATGATAAAAGCGATCCTCTATCGTTCAAGTCGATAGGAGACTAATTGATGTGTAGCAGAACAAGGATTTGTCTCAATATTGACGCATAGTGACCAAATAATTAGCGGATTTCAGGATACTTTCCAATGTTGCGGCAGAATAACCAAATTATTAGGAATCGTCGAGCAGCAATTCTCACTACCAGTACCAAATAATTTGGTTGTAATCAAGTATACTTGAAACCACTTCCTCAACCAGTATTTCTTGAAGCCATACCACCAGAAATTGTCTTGGTGTTCATTCTGTTATACTTGTCGGCGCTAATTTTTGTTGCGATCTGGTAAACCATCGTAGTAGTTTATCCTTCACCACTTTAACTTGATTTTCTTATTGGTCGTTGAATTTAACTTCAGTAACGTTAAATCTGACGTGAATCTATCAACTTGTACCCCATCACAGCAGTATTCTGTTTGAAATTGATCTGCTCCAACTGTTTAACTGTTTAACTTTTCAGTGAATTCATTAAGATAAGCAAATCATCTGGTTTACATTTATAACTCTCTCAGAATTCGTTTAAGTTTAAACCACTCAATCACAATCTTCACATTACTGTAACATGAAAGTTATACCGCTCAAAGGTAAAGTAAGATAAGCGATCCCTTCCTCTTAAACAATAAACCCCCGCTACGGATCACGTGCTACTTCTCAAGCCTCTCATTGGTTCGTTTATTTGACAAGTGACCAAATTCTCAAGTTTGATTGGCTGCTCCTTAACCCTCTGTGAACACCTTAATTTGACGCCTGCTTTACTGTAAGTATTTGTACGCAATCCATTAAAAAGTTAAAACGTTACCGGGTATAGTGTTCATTTGTCAACCCAGAGTGCCATTACCCATCGCTCACTTTAATGGAGATTTATACTATTGTGGCGTCAGTGGACTGTTGACTGAGATTAAACCTCCACCACACCATGGCTTGGATTTACAATCTCTTATATCAAATATTCGGCACCTGTTCGCGAACAGGGGTCGGGCTATCTGGATTCTGCCGAATATTCATAGCTAACATTTGTCAGGATGTTTGCAGAAAGCATATCACATACATGGTCAGTGCGACTCTCTTGAAATTTGTCGCTAAATCGGCCTATTTGTCATTTATACTCTCTTAACGTGTGTAGTCACTGTAAAGATTTCCACTAAATCATGAGGGGGTGGGGGTGGTAAAATTCAGGAGTTGTTTCTCATTCAAGGCTCTATCCTGCAGATAGATCCATATCAACAGACGACAAATAATAAGTCCTTTGCTTGAAATATTCTGCTCGCTATTTGGTAGAAATTTTTTGAATTCAAGTCTGTAATTTTTATGCTCAAACCGTCAGAACGTCTGGTCGTATATTTGCCGCAAACCCAATTATATTACTCCAAAATATGTAAAATAACATGTCAAATCATGTCAACTTGTCTAATGTCTATTTCTCGAATGGTTTGTGGCCAGAAGTGATGATTTCCATCCCTCGATCGGTTTATTTTATTATACCTCTCCTTAATTCAGTTTATTGTAGCTTTTGACCTCAAATTCTAAAGTGTCAGCCCCCACCCTACATTTTGGTCCATCTATTTTTGACAATCCATCTGATATATTTGATATATTCGTAGTTGATCAATTCATCATATTATGATATTTCCAGATTACAGTTTAGTTTTGTCCCTAAATCTCCGGTCCATCAGTACAATTTTAATGGCTCTCCGATCGAGTCCTGGGACAATTCTCTGTCTTACCATTGGCCGTCTCCTCCATTTCCTTGCTTGTGATTGGCTCTTTCTGGTCACGTGACCAGTCGTTCAAAGCACGTGACCAAATAGACCTAGCTAGATTGGCTAGTCCCTGTAAAGCACAAGTAAGACAGTACTCTATGCTTGTGTTTGAAGAGTTTTATACTTGACGAGCTGTATTATAGATGCACCAGATGGACATGGCTCCGTAAGGGTCCGATCGGATTTCCAATATCTAGATTGAAATATATACGTCTTCAGTTTCTTGGAGATTTCTTGTAATAAGTAATAGTATCAAGTTGACCGTTTACTCTCAGTTTCATCCATCTTGGACTCGAGTTTTGTTCGACTTTTATCCAATTATCTTTGGAAAATTTGTCGGTATAACCCTCGAGCGAAGCTCTAATAATAAAATATTGACCTGTGGCATGTATCTTTCTTGCAACTTGAAGCGTTTCTCATGTCTCAAGCGCTACAGTTTCGCTATGTTTAAAGCTGCACTGAGGTTATATCTTGGTTGTATCTTGTCCTGGGACAGTTGCTATTGGTCTTCACTTCAGTTACCTCCACTGTGATTGGTTCCTTCTTGTCACGTGATCAGTTGCTCAAACTGGTCTGAGGTGGTTCCCGGATCGTGCTGAGGTTAATCTTGCTTGCTATTTGTTTTATAAGATATTGAAACTTGAGGAGTTTCTATTAGAGAGATACTCTTGGGATAATAGCAGAATTTCTTCAAATTGTGAGATATTGTTTATTACAATAGATTTTGCAAGTTTCGTAAATACAGTTGCCATTCTCTGCTGATTTCTGACGAACTCCATCTGTGGTTTAATGCACAAGCTGTACAGTGTGCTTCTTGCGACCTCGTTGATTTCACTTTTTTTCTCATGAATGTAATAGAGTCAGACTCTATAATTTATGAAGTTGTTATTTCAAGAATGCAGGGACGCGTCTTTAAAAAGTAATTATCTAGAAGACAAAATGCGAATGGTAGTCATTAAGCGCGACATGAAAATTAGCGAGAACTTCGTTAACAATTTTTAAAGTCCTCCAGTATACAATTAAAAATATTTACTGACATCAGTACTTTCTTTCTTACTCAGCACAAATGTTTTATCAATATTATTAATTTACTTACGAAATTTACCATGGCCTGTATAACTTTAATAATTAATACAGGCTGCATGGTGACCGAAATAAAATAACTTCAAATAAAGGTGAATTACTTTGTTCCAGCCTAAACTAACTGCTGTAAAAGTTAATTATCCGCTGCTCTTTCTGATATTCTCAGTGCGCGTCAATTTTGTTAAAGGCACGCATCGGGGAACCAGTTGATCTCGACAGCGCCTTCTTTTCTAGAGTTTGAGAATGTTTTTTAAGACAGGGTTGAAAAGCCTTTTTCATTTTAAAAACTATTTTTTGAAAAGCCATGATTCCAGTGGACTGACGAATGGATTGAAATCATTGTGTAAATAAAGATAGATGAATATTAGTGGACTCTTGAAAAATATTTAATTTCTATTTGTGTTTGTGTTGTAATAATCAGACCATCTTTAGGATTATTCGTTGTCTATGATTTGTCTCTTGAGCGCTGTTTTCATTGGGTTTGGCCGTCAGAAAATGACAAGGGAAGTCTCTTTTTTGGCCTTTGTGTCCCGAAAAATTTGTCATAAGAGTCATCTCTTACGAAACGCTCAAAATGTTCACATACCATAATATTAATAAACATCAAACGGAGACAATGGTCGGCATATTATGTCATCGCTTTATGTCGAGTCGGTATAAAATGATGATATCATGTGCCACATCATTTTCATGTGCCATTTTCCGACAAATGCCAATTGCCAATCCCCTGACATTTCTCCAGCATCACATCATGCCATTGTTGCTCAGGTTTTAGCAGATAACGAATATACTGCGTTATATTGTGCTATTGTGTTCAGAGCGGCAGTACTGACTTATCAGTTTATTTCCAGACAATCTCCTAACACGGCTTTCTTTTGTAACCCTCATGACAGCTGTGCCTTGCCACCAACAGATTTGAGTTTGTAAAATACTGATATTACCTAGGCTATCCACTCCGATAATCGTAACCGATAATTATCTCCGATAATTCGTTAAAAAAAGTTATCTGTTTATCTAGATAAAACATATTTTTATCGGTATAAAAATTCACTAGATATTACCGAAAATACTGCCACAATACCGTACAATTGTAAAGAAATATTAGTGTTTTTGCCTTCCCAAGCAATCCAAGAAACAGTCCCAAACGTCTTCTAGTATAATAGAAGAGGTAGTTTACTTAGATGTGAGCTTAAGAGGTTTATTTACATTTGTATACCTATGGAACTGTAGAACTGTATGAACTGTTGAAATCCAGAGAAGGTTATTGACATTGTTCTCTTGTATTGAGGTGCTGGCGTTTTACCTTATAATCATTCTGGAGACGGGAACGAGCATGTTACTGTTAACAAGAGTCAAAAATACCGGCAGGGCACTCAATTGAATTCCGTAAGTGTTCTGGGCGTGAAACATTGTCTTCAGGAGAAGGAATCTGTTGCTCCAAGTTATCAACAGGATAAGAAAACGGTTCACTGAATCACTTTAAATGCTTTACTGTTTCGAGGAGATTTGGTATTTGGTGCACTACTGTTCTCAGGAGAAGGAAACCCTTGGTCTACTGTTTTGAAGAGAACTAGTACACTACTGTTCTCAGGAGAAGGAAACCAGTGGTTTACTGTTTTTGAAGAGAACTGGTACACTACTGTTCTCAGGAGAAGGAAACCCTTGGTCTACTGTTTTGAAGAGAACTACTGCGTTACTGTTCTCAGGAGAAGGAAACCGTCTGTCTACTGTTTTGAAGAGAACTATTGCGTTACTGTTCTCAGGAGAAGAAAAACGGTGGTCTACTGTTTTGAAGAGAACTACTAGTGCGTTACTGTTCTCAGGAGAAGAAAACCAGTGGGGTCTACTGTTTTGAAGAGAACTACTGCGTTACTGTTCTCAGGAGAAGGAAACCGTCTGTTTACTGTTTTGAAGAGAACTGGTACACTACTGTTCTTAGGAGAAGAAAACCGTTTGTCTACTGTTTTGAAGAAAACTGGTGCACTTATGCTCCCCGGAGAAGAAAACTGATGCTCTAATATTTTCAAAAGAAAGGAAGTGGTACTTTAGAAAGATTACTGGTAAACAGTAATAAAGGTCGACAATTAGTTTTTGCGAAATTTGGAAAACATTTTGGCTTTGGCCTTCAGCATAAAAATTATCGGTTTTATCGGTTTTATCTAGATAAAACCTAAATCTTTATCTGTTTATCTAGATAAAAGATTTCATACCGATAATGGATAGCCTAATATTACCTAGTATCAGTCTTTAAATGGAGCATCTTATGAAAATTTCAGAGTTTATTTCGTCAATATCAGGACTTTAAATGGAGCATCTGATGAA